GCTTTCTTTCTTCTGGTGTACGTAGCATATGCAGCCTGTAGTGGATGGGCCAGTGGCAATATGAGTGGGTTTTATATAATTCTGGTGAAGTGAGAATCTGCCTCAAGCAACAGAAGTGGGTAATATTTGATAAAATTGAGGTGCAGGTCCATTTCAGAGTGGCCATCCTGAGGAATATGGGAGATCACTGTTGGAAGCTAAGCAGGGTTTAGAAGATACCAGTGAACGTATGAGAGAACAGAAAGCATGTTCTTTAAAGGTGACCTGCAATTTTTTTTTAAATTAGCTTCTGTCCCCTTTTGTTTCTTTATAAAGTAGCAAGAAGGCCTGAAAGGACTCTTCTTGTTTACAAAGTTTTTTAATTGCTTTTTTTTCTACTTTAGAAATATCAGGCATATGGACTTCCCTGGTTTTGCTGGAGGACCACTGCGAGGTCTCAGAGCATGTTTATTGTACACTCTAACATACTTAATTGTAGGGGCATGAGATCTTGGTAACTGAAATTAAACAATTAACAAAAACAAAACACAAAGAATTACAATCCGACTAAAAATCACATCCTGTTTTATTTGCTTAATTTTCACTCTTGGTTCTTGTGATGTCACAATTACGCTCATTCTCCAGTCATCTTAGTCTTCCATTCTAAACTAGGTCTCAATTTCTAGTGCAATATCCAAGAAAGGGGGGGGAAATTCTAGTTTTTAGGCTGCCATTAGCCATCATAAAGAAGCAAGAAAGAGCACAAACTGTTTTCTTTGCAGTTCATTTTAAAGGACCTCTGGAATTTTATATTCTTTTGTTTGATCTATTTGAGGATTGCTTATGTCTGCCACCATCTTAGCTGTGATTATTTCTGGAGGCATTACTCCTAAAAAGCTGCACACCCAAAAGTGTCGCTATAGCATTAGTTAACATGAATTAGTTGTTGCTTATACCATTCCTGGAGTGACTGCTATCTGGTGGTAGTTCTTGTTTGAAGGATAAAACTCTGGGGATCCATTTCAGAGGGACCACTGATAAGCATAATAATAAAGGGTACTTGCCATTCACATGTGGTGAAGTCTCCTACATTCACCCATCTCTAAGTGCATTGGGGATAAGGTATTTGGCCCGCATTGCACTGCACTCTATGATTATTTGAAGAGTTTGGAGACAAACTGGATCTACACTTAAACTCTACAAAAGCTCCATGTGACACATAGAGTTTTTGAGCTGAAGCCCACTTTAGATCTATGTTGTGTGATCTCATATCTTCTTGCGTGATAACACATGGCTCTGTAACAACAACAAAAATATTATTAGAATGTTATAGAAATCGAAATGGAAAAATCCTGCAGTGAAACTGAAGGAGATCCCATGATAAAATAATTAAGGGCCATTGTGCCCTCTGTGACTCTCATTGAAGCTCGTTGGCTTCAATACATGATGTAAATGTGATTTCAAGTAGGGAACTTTAGTCCTAGGAGAAAGCAAACAGTTTTTTCCACTTTCTGAAAGTCACTTACTACAGATGATTAGTGTTACCTGAATCTGAATTTAATGGGTAATGTCACTGTTTTTAGACTATTTGCAAGAAGAGTGTAACATTCCTTTTAGTGATGAAGCAGTAAGACAATAAAAGCATGAAACTAATGGAATGTTTTCTATCTACAATTAATTTAGTGCCTTTACCTAGCATAAAATAGAAATTAGGAACAATTTCAAATAAAATGTATTTGAAAAAAGTGTTAACTAAACCAAGCTCTGAGGTAGGTGGAGTTTATTCAGGAGCTGTTCAGTGTCCTGTGAGATGTCAAGCCCATTCAACTGGGTTGTGGGCAGGCAACTGCAAGTGCTCTTCCCAGGTAGTGGGTGATGCTGCAATGCCTAATTTTGAGGTAATTTAGGTGGCCTCTCTGTCATGTGGAATCCCCAGGGAGGCAGAGGTGGTGGTGACAGCAGTTAGGGCGGGGCAGAGGAGGGACGGTTTTGGGAAAGGGGCAAAATGAAGGAAGCTGCCAGTTTTACAAAAATGCAGGTAACTACAAACAATGTTTTTTTTTCTTTTCTCCTGTACATGACAGTCTTGAGAAGGCAAGAGAAGTGATTAAGGAATTACAGTGCTCCAAGGTGACGGGCTTGCTATATTCTAGAGGTTCCGCTATATCCTCAACCACCCTTTTTCCTGACCCTCCCCCCAGCTCCCACTGATCCACCCTTGCCTTCCCACCCCTGCTGGGCTAGACTTCGACACCCACACCCCACCTTCCATCACTAATCCTTCTTTCAGTCTCCCTTCCATAGCACCCCTACCCCCCACTGGTCCACCAATACCCTTGTCCCTACTGGCTCCGGTAGCATGCCAGCTGCCTCAGGTATCCCCAGGCCCTCTTACTTATCAGATTTGTGGCAAGTAAGTTCTTACTTCCCCATTCCTACTGCCACTATGGGGGGAAATCAAAAAAAATTTCTCGCTGGTGAGAAGTATCACACATGGAGCTGCTGAAAACTTTGTAGCTACAGTTTATTCCATCTGCAGCTCTATGAATGTAATACACCACTGGATATAGAGGCAGCATGCAAACAGAGCAATAACCCATTCCTTCGTGATATCCTGACCCTTACTAACTCTGCTGGTATGAATTTGGCCTCTTATAGGAACTTTTCCCCCCAACATACTGTTTTGAGGACTAGTCCTTTTCATTTGGCATAACCTAAAGTGGCCATTTTGTAACTGGCTGCTCCTTGCTACTTCTTCATTCCTTCCAGTTTGTCAATGTTCTTAACTCCTTTTACTTTTTCCCACCCTTATTCATGAGGGGATGGCACATTTCTCACAAGTGTATTTAAAAAGAAATTTTTACTCTCTCAAGCTTGGTTCATCATGCTGCTAGAACCATCACATCAACTACCAGAATCAAATTGATAGTCAGATGTGAATGTTAGTCTGGTTAGAATGGCAGCTGGACTCCTTGATGCTGTATATTTGGCTATATAATGTTCTGGCTCTTTGCCTTAGGTAGGAGCAAATATGGTTTAATCCAATTAACTTCACTCTGTCTTTTCCTTTTTAGCTGGTTTGTTAATCATAAAGCTGGTTTGAAAATTACCATTGAAACATTTAAATAGAAAAATAGGGAGATATGTTTGTAAACATTTTCATAGAAATATTTTCCCAGACTTTGATCAGCTCTAGTTAATTATGCTGTTAAATTTACATGTCACTTATAGTAAAAAAAAAAAAAAAGTCATGCAGTGACAGCTTTGAAAATAAATTTCAGCTTCATGAAAAAGAAATGACAAAATAGTAGCCAGGAGATCATGGGTTATAAAATTAATTTAGTTATACATTGAAAACTTTTTACTACTGAATATTTTTCTTACCTAAACAAACTGGTGGTTTTGTCCAGTTTCCATTGTAACAGTATGATTTCCGTTCTCCTTGTATTATGTAATAATGCTGGCATTTGTATTCTACCGAAGAGCCAAATACGTACTCTTTTAGGGATAAAGTAGTTATGTCTCCGTTCTTAATAGTAGGTGGCCGGCCACACTTTTCCCCAGTTCCTAAATGAAAATATCTGTAGTTATGATTTTGTACAGATACAAATGTTTTTGGCTTTGCTATTCTATATGTAGCATGCTGATGGCACCAGTATTCATCGGTCACAATGCTCTGAATTTTTTGTCTTTTCAGGCCTAATCCAGCTCTCACTGAAATCAATAGTTTAGCCAGGGGGCAAGATTATACTGGTATACATTTAAGCAAGATCTTAAATGTTACTCTAACACACATTTATATAACATCTATGGTCATAAATTCCTTTATTTTGGAAATTCTGGAATAAGCTGCATTGAATTTGTCATTAATAAACATAATCTGCACTCTTGATCCTTTCATCTTTGTGCACATAATCTACATGACTGGTCTAGTTTGCTGATCTAATTGATCCAGGATGATACCGGACAATTCCTTCCTATCTTGCAGTTACCTCAGCTGCCAGCTTTACAAAAATGCATGTAACCACAAAAAATGTTTTTCTCCTGTATTTGGTGGCCTTGAGCAGGCATGAGAAGTGATTAAGGAATTACACTGTTCTAAGGTGCAAGGCTTGTTATATTCAGTCCTAGACAAGTAGATCCCAGATCACTTAGGCTGAGCTTGCGCTATAATCCCATCTGAGCTCCTATGGGGCCTTGGGTGAATCACATCTTTACACATGGAAACTTTGGGTAAAACATCAGGATCTCACAGGAGGTAAAACATTGCATCTGAGCTAAATTTTCCATAGTAAACAATGTATATTATTATGAGTCTGAACTAGGGCCGGCTCTAACTTTTTTGCTGCCAGAGTTTTTAAAGCTATCTGCTTAATTAAATAGAAACACGAATAGGGTGATTTTCTCAGGAAGTCTTGAATTACCAAGTCCCAAATAAATCTGAAAGGAAGACTGATTTGCTTAACTCTGCCTGGAACAAACATTAACCCATTACACGTACGCTCCCCTCCTTATTGCTCAAACATATTTGAGGAAAAGAACTGATATAGAACTAAGTACATTTACCAGATATACAAGTTGGTAAATCCATATGCCCATCTACACACTTGATGGGGTAGGGGATTTTAAGGTCAGAATGTTCGCCACAAAGAAATTCCATTGTTTGGTCACTTTGAATCAATACTGTACGTCTTCGGCCATTGGACAGAAGCAATTTTTTTGTTTCCAATTGTTGCCTTGTGATAATACATGGAGCTTTAAATAAAAAAGAGCAACACACAAAAAGTAGATTAAAAGTTTAAATATCTCCTCCCACATTAACAGTGCTGCAGATTCCATACTTCTAGAGTCATCTTCCCTTTTTGTTTACCACATAGAGAATGAATGACACTTAACAAAGAAAAAATGGACTACAGTACTTTAAAAAGTGATTTGTATTAGTTGTTAGATCAGGGAACTTTAAATCAGAACTCCTGTGTTCAAGTCCCACCTCTACCATTAACTTGCTGTGTGGTCTTGGCAATTTCCTTAATTTCATTGCTCCAGTTTCTCCATTCTTGTAATGGGGACAGTAACTTCCTGTTGTTAAGGAATGTATGAAAGGTATTCTAATATAAATTATTGTTAAGCAAAGCCAATAGGATACTGTTATCTACACTGTCCCTACCAGATAATCTGCCATTTACTAGCTATCAACTAGATAGTCCTGTTCACTGATCAGTATTCAGCTCTACCTAAAATTAGATAGTGTATGATGCTCCAGCAAGTCTCATTTTGGACTTGATCCTTTGATACCAGTGAAGTCAATGGGAATTTTGCCATTGCATTGTATGGGAGCAGGATCAGAAATTATGGGAGTTCTGGAAACAGTAAGTAGCCACCCATAGAATAGTATCCGTCATTAAATAATACTATGAGACAAGAGAGGGATGTTATGTCCCACCTACTTTAGTCCAATGAATTAAGAACCAAAACATTATCCTACCCAAGCACTTTGGTGGAGGTGTCCATTTTTCTCCACTGCATGTTATCCTTTCAGGTCCTGCCAGAGTGTATCCTGGGTAGCACCTGTACTGAACAACATCACCCTCCTGATATTCTGCTTTCTCCCCACTGACAATTTCTGCCAAATCGATGTCAGGTGGATGTGGACACTCTTGAACTGCAACACACACATGTGCTAACCTATTACTGATGAGGGTCGAGGGGGAACAGAATTGAAGAAACAACAGTGTTACATCAATTTTATGTGTTAAGTTCTTTGGGGTAAAGATTGTCGCTTATATTATGTTAGATGCTGAAGAAATACAATGAGACCCTGATCTTGACTGGGGTCTTTGTGGCTAGAACAAAACAAATAATAATTAATGGGGGATATTTCCATCATGAAAATTGATTAAAATAAAAGTCTGACGTGTGAGAGCTTCATGAATGTTCAATGGGTAACTTGAAGAAACACTGCTCCTCTCATTTCCTGTGTTAGAACATTATTTTCACTGATGTACATCATAAGAAGAAGCTCCAGTTAATTGACATAAGAAAAGAAGTAATATTGTTTCTGTTTGTAATTAGTGTCTTGACCTTAAAGTTGATACATCATAAAGTGATGCGAATAGGTGTAAGGGGATCTAAATACAAGTTTAAGCTATGATATGGTGATCTAATTTACACCACCGTACAACATTATCTTTGAATATTCCTTATAAGCTTTCCACATCACCACACTTTCTTATATTTCTAAGGCCCAGATCCGGCACCATTACAGTCAGTGAGAGCTTTTACACTGACTTCAGTGCGTACAGGATCAGGCTCTGAATGAATAGCAGCAATATTTTAAGGTAGGAAGAATGCCTTCCTGCCTCTCTATGTTTGGGATAATTGCTTAGAGAGGTAAGTCCTCCTCAGCACTCATATTGATCCAGAACACCATTCTAGCCCTTTTCTTGGGGGAGGCAGAATAGCATTCCAGTATTTCTGATAATTGAAAAGTAAACCAATGATTATTCATGCTAAAACATTGGAATTTTCATTAGAGTGCTTTTTCAAAAATCCTGTTTCACACCTCTGCTAATTCCAGCTTTTTGCCAGCATCAGTTTATCAAAAAGACACATGATAAATTGTCTACTTCATAAATATATAATGCTCTCAGAAAAAGGGTGTCAAAGTGTGTGATGGCCTGGCTTGTCCATACGTGAAGAAGTGACTTGCAAAGCATCGATCAGCAGAAGACACACAATCACGGAAAAAGATACCCAAAGAGGCAGCACAAGCAGCAAACTGATATTGTATTTGGGTAGACAATGAAGAATATGGTGTGTGTGTGTACACATAGCATCTTTCAGGTGTGCAATAAAAACCTACATTACTATTATAAGATATTCTTGCTGTTGAAATTGTATGTTCTGGCACTTCTTTTTTTTTTTTTTAGGATTCGAGCTCTGGTTCTCCTTCATTTTAGATACTGTGAGAAATTTTACCTGGTTTTGTATTACCAAACTAGAGAGTTTAGTATCTATTTTAAGAACACATTACATTCCACATTATTTATACAACTGATTGATTGATTATTAAAACACTTGATGGTTTTTCAAATAAACACAATGTGTCTGGGGAAAAAGAACTAGCAGAAGTTAATCTTAAATGAAAGCTTTCTTACCAATACATATGGGTACTGGAGACCAGCCTTCAGAGGTACAGGTAGTTTCATTAATTCCATTTTCAGATTTATATCCATGATTACATTGAAAGGTTGTTTTTTCTTCAACTTTGTCCACTATTTTCCCATTTTCTATTCTTCCACATTGTATTGCTGAACAAAAACAGAACAACATAATCAAAAAGACTATTGCAGATAATATACAGGAATACATGGTGTATTGTATACAACATATTTTACTACCATAATAGTTAGCACTGCATCATTAGGAGAGCTGGTCAATTTAGAAAAATAAATTTTTGACATCTGTTTTCTCAAAAAGCACAAAATATTTTGTGGAGAAACTTGTGATTTTATGACAAGTTTAATTGAATTTTTTTGAAATGTCAATGAAATTTTTACACCCAATTTTTTTTTTTGAAAACTTTAAGCATTTTTTGAACAGGGTAAACATTTTTTAAAACACCTGGACTTTCTACAGTGACTTACACACTCAGGACCCAGAGTCCCATTGGCTTTCAGTGGTAGTTAGGATCTGAGGTGTCGAAGTCACTTTGAAATTGGGACTTAGGCTTTAACTCACCTGTGTGTTTCTGAAAACATTACCCCATTACTCTAGATCTAATTAAGTCACTGCCAGAAAATCAAAGTTAATTATAGCTCATATGAAAGTACTGGAAACATGAGCTGATGAAAACTCTTAAAATACACCTATTGTCAGGGTCCTTGATTAAAACATGGTTGCTCTCTAAACTGAGTACGAACATGGTTGCAATTTATAGCATAAACTGGATGTTATCTGTGTCTTGTAACTTTGGCTTGACTAAGTGAAGGCAAAGTGAAAACTCTCACTAGTGAGCAAATTCCCTTTTAAAACAGGAAGAGCATCCAAATGTAACTACCAAGTATATTAAATTATTAGAGTTTATGTTATGCTTCTACATGTTTGTACAGTGCCTAGCATAAAACAGCCCCGATCCTGAGTGGGGCTATTACAATACAAATAAAAAACAATAATACTGATAAAGTGAAGAGAAGGCGCTCTCGTCTATGAAATTGTTGCTTGATTTATTTAAGCTTTTTGACTGATTAGGATTGAATCTGTTCAATAATGCTAGATGAGGTAATGCTGCACATTACCTGTAGTACTTAAAGTTAAATACAATGACAATAGTGTTCTAAAGTATATTGTTTTTTCATTTAAAATCTATGGTTGAGATTTTTCAAATCTAGTCAGAGGTTTTAGCCGTATAAACATCCCATAAATTAATGGGAATGATGTGGCTAAATCCCCTCACTGGCTTTGAAAATTTCATTCAATATTTTGTTTTGCTTAATCTGTTCTACAATATCTTGCTATCAACCTAATCACCAAAATGTAGGTGCTATATTAGTTTTATTTTTATAATAGCACTATTTTGTCTAATTTTATACATGTTTTTGGCTAATTTTTGTGTAGTCCTAATTTTTCTTTTAGATTGTGTTTGTGATATTATTAGTGTACACATATATTGCATTATCCCTAAAAGGCATCAAAACCGGTTAAGAGACCTGTATGGCATAGCAGTGTAAATGTAATGTAAAGTCATACAAAATGAAGTGTAATGTTATTCAAAGAATCACATATGTACTGAGTGAGTATAATATTCTGCTATCATTATTGTATCAGTTTTGGTCACTCTGTAATAGGTATTGTGACAATTTGGAGAAGTGGGTTGGATAATTTATGAGTTTTGATTGATGCTATGAAGTTGTTATGAAATTGCTGTATCAGGGAATGCTTCCATATGGATGTGGAATCCACCATTTGCTGACAAGGCTGTAAGCCAGGGGTGGGCAAACTTTTTGGCCCAAGGGTCACATCTGGGTGGGGAAATTGCATGCAGGGCCATGAATGTAGGGCTGGGGCAAGGGGTTGGGGTGTGGGAGACAGTGCGGAGTGTGGGAGGGGGTGCAGTGTGCAGGAAGGGGTTCAGGGCAAGGGGTTGGAGCAGAGAAGGGGTGCGGGATGTATGAGGGGTCTCAGGGAAGGGGGTTGGGGTGCAGGAGGGGGTGAGGATTGCAGGAGCAGGCTCAGGATAGGGGTGCAGGGAGGAGTGTGGGAGAGGGGACTCGGCAGGGGGAAGGGGTGTGGGGTGTTGGAGGGGGCTCAGGGCAGGGGTTTGGGGTGCTGGAGGGGTGTGGTAGGGGCTCAGGGCAGGGGATTGGGGTGCAGGAGGGGTTTGGGGTGTGGGCTCTGGCCCGGCGCTGCTTACCTGGAGTGGCACCGGGGTGGCACTGACGCCCACTGGGGCCAGGGCAGGTTCCCTGTCTGCCTTGGCCCCATGCCGCTCCCGAAAGCAGCTGGCGCCATGTCCCTGCAACCCCTGGGGGTGGGGAGGCAGAAGGCTCTGCGCGCTGCCCTCGCCTGTGGTACCTCCCCTGATGCTCCCATTGGCTGCGGTTCCCCAGTCCCGGCCAATTATTCAAAAAAGCAGCTTCCAGGGTGTGTCAAAGGGTCATTACAGATTCAGCCCAATCTCCTACACCTTCTACACCTTCTACATCTACAGTGATAACTGATGTTGATAATGATGACCCTGAGGCACTGCAAGATCCTGAAGTGTCTTCTGAATCATCAAAGATTAAATTATGTTCAGTATAGTTTTAGTATTAGGTGTATTTTTAGTGATCTGGGTGTACAACATGTACTGCCCATAGTGATATGTAGTGTCTTAAGATAACCTACTGTATAGAAAATGTTACCTGTATACAACTAAGTGCTTCAAGAAACCAAGCTCTCTGCAGTGCAGTACTACTACTACTATACTTTATCCATTTTATTGTATTCTAATTCTTTGAAAATTGGTATTCCATTGGTAAGTATAGCTCTTAGTTAACCAGAATTTTTGATTAACCCCCCATTCTCCCAATATGCCAGATAACAAAACTTTTACTGTATATTGTTCTTCGTTTTTGTGATGCAGGTGATGTGGTGGGGGAGCTGTGGAAAACAGTAAGAGAGTTTGCCCTCTACCTTCATCTCTGTAATTACAGCTGATCCGTGTTGCAGAGTTGCTTCCTGGGAACTTGGCATTGGTGGTTTGCTGAGAATTCTGGAAAAGGGGGTTCACTGAGTGCCCTTTGTGACTGCTGTGTTCCAAGACTGGTGTATATAATGAAAGTAAATAAGCAGCATACGGCCCATGTACAGTGGGTAAATATTTCAGTACATCTCGAGTACTATAAAAACGGCAATGTATCTCTCTCTTTGAAGGACAATATAGAGGAAGTTAACCTTATTTAAAGCTCACTTACGAATGCATCTGGGTACAGGAGACCATCCTGAAGAAGTACACTCAATGCTGTTGTTGTCATTTTCTGCTATATACCCGGCATTACATTCAAATGTTCTTTTTCTTCTCTGAAAGAAGAAACGTGGCTTTACACTCCCATTTTCTATGTTACCACATGAAATAGCTGAAAGCAAAATAAATACATAAACTCAGACATACTGTATATAATCTGAAATCTCTGGTTGTATATTCTGCTGATCTTATTTAGCACAGCATAATACATTTAAAGAAAATGAAAAAGGATTTAAACTTGGTTGGAGCCATTTGGAAAAGCTGAGGAACATCATCTGGGTGAAACGAAATGAAAACTCTCCTAGTAAAGGTTTAAAATGAAAACACTCCCATGGGTAACTAACACTGGAATTACTAACGAAAGTTAATTAAGACATAAAAATAGGCAAAGCAGTTTATATAACATGACTTTTTTTAAATTGAGCTGTCACCATTGCTAATGAAGCCTGCTTGCTGCCCTGATTTTCCCAAAATATACTAATGCAAATATGGTTAGGCAGCATGGAACATATGGACAAGCACACACAGTTGTGGTAGCAGAGAAGTTGCTGTATGAACACTAGAGCTAAGGCAAATAATGGATTTTTCATCTTGGTGACAGAAAAATGTTTTGGATTGAGCTAAAAATGTCCCTCTCCCACCCGAAATTTGGAGCAAATAAAAATACCCCCAAAATTGTTTTGGGTTGAACAAAACGTTTCATTTCAATTTTGAGCATTTTGTAACACACTTCATTTTTAAAATAAAATGCAAGAAAAATTTGAAACAAGGTTTTCTTTTTTTAGAATAAAAAATTGTAACAAAAAAAAGTCCAGAGAAATGATTTGATTTTTTTGAGAATTTTTAAAGGTTTTTTACTGAAACCATTTGGCAAAATCAACACAAATTTATGAAATGTTGCAGAGTTGCTAAATCTGCATTTTAGTGATGGTTAATCTATGTGAAATATTATGGAAAGGGGGCAGCAGTGATGCAAAGAACTGTGCATTTCTGGCATATTCAGCTGGTATAAACTAACTAATAGCTAAATTTGGAGAGGAAGAATTTTCTGTATAGCTGTTACACATACAAAATGACAATTACTCCGTTAGCATCTTCAAAACAGGCTCTGCCCTTGAAGCAGTGTCTCTGCTTTACCTTGCCCCTCAGTTGTACTACTAAGTCACCATCAGTTTTTCCTACCCCAATAGGCCTAGATGGTAGTATGTGCTCAAATTTTTTTCCTTTCAGTTATCTCTATACCTTAACATGGTCTTTTTACAAGTCTATATTTTGTTTGTATCTTAACATCTTACCTAATGCAATGGAGCACGCCCATAATACCAGAATGGCAATATATCCAAGCTGCGTCATCTCTGTGCCTCAAAAGTTTGGCCCGCAATTTTAAAGTGCTGGTGTAGTGTAGTGCTGTGCCCTGGACTCTGTCCTTACCAATGTCTTTTAAAGCCTGACCTCTTGTTTATAATCCCTTCACTGCTGGGCCCCACACTCTGTCAATATTGCATCACAGATGTATGCAAATTTTAATTTAAAAGGCAGTCCTAGTTGTTCAAAAAGATCAATTTCTTCCAGTAATTCCCCTCCCACATGTTTCCTTGAACAAGTGAGCCAACTGACTCCCATCCAGCTGTATGGGCTCCAGGTCAGTAAGGTTCCTAAGAGGTAGGACAGGTTTTAAATCTAATTATGGTGTCTGAACAAGACTGATCTGAACTAGGGTGAATACAATGATAGATCCCACTGCCACCAGGGCCGGCTCCAGGGTTTTGGTCGCCCCAAGAAACAAAAAAAAAAAAAAAAAAAAGCCGCAATCGCGGTCTGCGGCGGCAATTCGGCGGGAGGTCCTTCGCTCCGAGCTGGAGTGAGGGACCGTCTGCCGAATTGCCGCCGAATAGCTGGACATGCTGCCCCTCTCCGGAGTGGCCGCCCCAAGCACCTGCTTGACAAGCTGGTGCCTGGAGCTGGCCCTGACTGCCACTGATCTAATGCCAGTTGAAGTCAATGGCAGATTTCCTGTTGATTTTAATGGGTTTTGGATCATGACAACTAAGTGGAGAGAAATTCAGTGTAATGCAAAAGAAGCACTTACAATAATTTGGACTGTATTCTTCATAAAACTCACTTAAATTCTCTCTCTGTACCTTGATATTTAAGGTGAGGTGGTGGAGGAGATTAATACTCAGTCTCCAAAAGCATTTGTTGAGAGCAATATCCAGAGTCAAGTGCAACAGTTCATTAGCCTTCAAAAGTCCTTGGTTTACTTTGTGGAGCACTGAAATGATATTGCTGAGCTTTAGTGTCATTCATGTATCCTAGATTTTCTGTACTGTGCACTAAAAATGATTAAAATATTCAATGGACCTAACTATATATAGTGAAACCTGTACTTATTAGGCAATCTCCTGTCTTAAGACCACCCTGAAGTATCTCCAGATATGTAGAGTGCAATCTTCTTGTACCTTCATTAGGAGGTCACCCCCTGTTGAGCAACTAATTTTTTGTCAGCTACTTGAACAGTTTTTCAAAACAGGCTACACTGCAATTTGATACTGAGATCGTGGGTTGGGACTTTCATCCTTTACACAACCAAAAACAGCACGCAAGCACAGCGGGGATCCCAAATAGCCATGTTTACAAAAAATATAAAAGCATACAGGGCCTAACTACAAAGATACTGATGTTCTGACTGAATTCTGGTAGCTTCTAAAAGATAACAAAGTGAGCACCACTAGAGAGCTCACGAAGTATTTAAATAGATACTACCCTATACACTAGCGGGAGTCTGGGTTCAGTCCAGCCTGGAGGCTCACCTTCACCTTTCAGCCTGATTTTTCCCATGCCCACTGGTACTATAATTTTTTTTTAAATAGTGGGAGAGAGGAGAAGAAGGTTGATGGAGTGGGGAAGGACATGGAAATAGAGTAAAATTCTGGACCCAAGGAAGTTAATGAGAGTTTTTCAATTGATTTTAGTGGAGCCTGGATTTCACCATAACAGTCAAGGCTTAAGGCCAGATTGCAAATGTATTTAGGTGCCTAGTTCTTTTTGGTTTCAATGGGACTTAAGTGCCTATGTGCTTTGGAGTATTCAAGTAGGAATTTATCTGAATCTTTATGGACCTAAGTCCCATTGAAACCAAAAGCAGTTAAGTGCCTAAATACCTTTAAAAACTGGCTCTTAATCGCTCTTTGTGAAATAGTCACACTTATTAAATACTTAGAGCTAGGCAAATATTTTTGAAAGCTGATTCATTAATACTTTCTCAAATAAAATCGGAGTTCATGTTCGCTGTTGAATGTGTATTGTTACATTTTTGCTAATAAATATTCAGAAAGAAAGTGTCTATTTGTGAAAACATCTTAAAATCCTGCAAGCTTTACAAATTGGAACACAAATGGTTATGAAAGTCACTTGATATGTGTTTTGTTAGTTTTTGCTATTTGTTACTCATTAACCTCCTTCGGAAATGTTTCAGTCATCGAATCGGTGAGCAGAAACAATAACTTGGTTTCCAAAAGAAGATTAGGAGTTGTCACGCATGATTTGACCTATAGTCCAGCTAGTGTAACATACTGTTCCTGGCAGTGCTCAGTGCTTCAGGGAGAAGTTTTAAGAAATCCCATAAAGGGCAATTACAGAATAATTTGCCCATAGGGGAAATTTCTTTCCAACCCCAAATAGTTGGATTTATGCCCTGAAGCATGTAGGTTTATATGTGCCCAATCTAATGTTCATTGATGGAAAGATTCCTTTTGACTTCAGTGGACATTGGAATAAGTAAAAACAACGAGGAGTCCTTGTGGCACCTTAGAGACTAACAAATTTATTTGGGAATAAGCTTTCGTGGACTAAAACCCACTTCATCAGATGCATGGAGTGAAAAAGACAGTAAGGAGAATATCTATTCTAGCACATGAAAAGATGGGAGTTGTCTTACCAAGTGGGGGGGTGGTCAGTGCTAACGAGCCAATTCAATTAAGGTGGAAGTGGCCTATTCCCAACAGTTGACAAGAAGGGGTGAATACCAAGGGAGGGAAAATTACTTTTGTAGCGCTAACGAGGCCAATGCAATCAAGGTGGCCCATTTCCAATAGTTGACAAGAAGGTGTGAGTATCAGCAGAGGGAAAATTACTTTTTATAGTGACCCATCCACTCCCAGTCTTTATTCAGGCCTAATTTGATGGTGTCTAGTTTAGAATAAGTGTTAATCTAGCTAATAAAAACAACAAGGAGTCTGGTGGCACCTTAAAGACTAACAGATTTATTTGGGCATAAGCTTTCGTGGGTAAAAAACCCACTCCTTCAGATGCATAGAGTGAAAATTACAGATGCAGGCATTATTATACTGACACAAAGAGAAGGGAGTTACCTCACAAGCGGAGAACCAGTGTTGACAGGGCCAATTCAATCAGGGTGGATCATAGAATATCAGGGTTGGAAGGGACCTCAGGAGGTCATCTAGTCTAACCCCCTGGTCAAAGCAGGACCACTCCTCAGACAGATTTTTACCCCAGTTCCCTAAATGGCCCCCTCAAGCATTGAACTCACAACCCGGGGTTTAGTAGGCCAATGCTCAAACCACTGAGCTTTGATGTAGTCCATTCCCAATAATTGATGAGGAGGTGTCAATTCCAGGAGAGGTAAAGTTGCTTTTGTAGTGAGCCAGCCACTCCCAGTCCCTATGCAGGCTCAAATTAATGGTGTTAAATTTGCAAATGAATTTTAGTTCTGCAGTTTCTCTTTGAAGTCTGTTTCTGAAGTTTTTTTGTTCAAGTATGGCTACTTTTAAATCTGTTATAGAATGTCCAGGAAGATTGAAATGTTCTCCTACTGGCTTTTGTATGTTACTGTTCCTGATTTCTGATTTGTGTCCATTTATTCTTTTACGTATTCTTCATCCGGTTTGGCCAATGTACATGGCAGAGGGGCATTGCTGGCACATGATGGCATATATCACATTAGTAGATGTGCAGGTGAATGAGTCCCTGATGGTGTGGCTGATGTGGTTGGGTCATCTGATGGTGCCGCTAGAGTAGATATGGAGACAGAGTAGGCAACGAGGTTTGTTACAGGGATTGGTTCCTCGGTTAGTGTTTCTTTGGTGTGGCGTGTAGTTGCTGGTGAGTATTTGCTTCAGGTTGGGGGGCTGTCTGTAAGCAAGGACTGGCCTGCCTCCCAAGGTCTGTGAGAGTGAGGGATCATTTTCCAGGATAGGTTGTAGATTGTTGATGATGTGATGGAGAGGTTTTAGCTGAGGGTTGTATGTGATGGCCAGTGGTGTTCTGTTATTTTCCTTGTTGGGCCTGTCCTGTAGTAGATGACTTCTGGGTACCCATCTTGCTCTGTCAATCTGTTTTCTCACTTCCCCAGGTGGGTATTGTAGTTTTAAGAATGCTTGATAAAGATCATGTAGGTGTTTGTCTCTGTCTGAGGGATTGGAGCAAATTCGGTTGTATCTTAGGGCTTGGCTGTAGACAATGGATTGTGTGATGTGTCCTGGATGGAAGCTGGAGGCATGTAGGTAAGTATAGCAATCAGTAGGTTTCCGGTATAGGGTGGTGTTTATGTGACCATCACTTATTTGCACTGTAGTTTCAAGGAAGTGGATCTCTTGTGTGGACTAGTCCAGGCTGAGGTTGATGGTGGGGTGGAAATTGTTGAAATCCAGGTGGAATTCTTCAAGGGCCTCCCTCTCGTGGGTCCATATGATGAAGATGTCATCAATGTAGTGCAAGTAGAGGAGGGGCACTAGGGGATGAGAGCTGAGGAAGCGCTGTTCTAAGTCAGCCATAAAAATGTTGGCATACTGTGGGGCCATGCGGGTAAAATGTTGCTGCCCCTTCCCCCTCTCCTGTCAGCGGCCCTGCCAGTACGGACCCTACCGGCACGGCTGCCAACAGGGGAGGCAAAAGGGGCAGGGACATTAAAGCACTGCCGCAGCAGCACTTTAATGTGGGCTGGGTATGGGCCGGTGCAGGTTCTTACCGGTACGGAGTACCGGCCCATACCGGCTCACTTTCACCCCTGCCTCTGCCCCAAGCCCTAGCCCCAAGCCCCTTCCTCCACACCACACCCCCTTCCACACCCCGCACTCCCTCCCGCTCCCCAAGCCCTGGCCCTGGCCCTGCATAAAGACGTGGGATATATAATGTATCTGCAAAGATGCATATAATCACCACTGTTTGGTTAAAAATTATAAAATGGCACTAGGAAGTCATATAGGAGTCTAGCACAAAGTTCTTATTTGAAAGGATTTTTCTCCATAACTAATATGGACAGGAATTATTAAACTAGGGGCCTAATTTTCAAAAGTGCTGAGCCTCCACGGCTCCAAATAAACTTAATAGGAGTTCAGCATCTCTGAAAATCAGGTCTCAGTTATGGCTCACTGACTTCTA